GAGGCGCCAATGCCGCCTCGCCGGTGGCCCCGCCGCAGGGATCCTCGGAGTCAAGCCCCCTCAGCACGTGCACACCCGATCTCCCACGGCCCGGACACCTTTCGTTCCCTCACCACGGGCCTTGTCAGGAAGCAAACGGTTCAACTGGTACTGAAAGAGAGCAGCTCGGTCCACCGCCGCCTTCTCCTCCTCCTCCCGGCCATATTATCGGTCTCAGGCGGCAGCGCGGGCTCCAGGCAACGGCCGCCGCCGCCCGGACTCCACCTCTCAGGGCCGGCACTTCCGGTAGTTGCTTCCCGGGCCGTTGAAACGGTTGGGCCACCAGGAAACTACAATTCCCGAGGTGCATTGCGCGCTTGCGTTCTGGCCCAGTGATAGAGGGCGTAGTACTTATGAGAGCGCAATGTACGATGGGAAGTGTAGGCTTCACAGCAAGCTAAGGCCTCTTCTATAATTTATTAGAATGGGAACGCTCCTTTTTTTTTTTTTTTAAATGTGTGATCGTTGGAAAACACGACATTCATCGCATTTTTTTCTGTAAATATAATATTGCAGAATCCTAGATTCCAACTCTCAAATTTAAGACATCCTTTACCCTTTTGCAAATTAGTGGGAAAATAATGTCTGAGAAAGGTAACAGGTTCAAGATGACAGGAAAAGCCCGAATGTTTTAGCAAAGTTCTCTATCTAAACATGTTACCGGCTTTGCGAAATATGATGTAGTGGCCTCTTTCATTTCCTAACTCGGTTTTACTTCCTGCCTCCTTCCTGTGCATAGTTTTACATATGTAAAATGAGAGTTTTAAAAATGACTGTCACAAGGGTTGTTATGAGGAACAACATAATTCTTTCCACTATTGGTCCTTAGCAGATGGAGAAGCAAGGTTAGGAGGAGGAGTAACGGTAGAAAAGTCACTGGCCTAACACTGGGTGGCTTCATGTCAGTCCAGACTGCCATTTAGTGTCCTATTCACTTCACTTCTCCTGGCCTTAGTTTTCTCATCTATGAATTGAGTTAATCCTTAAGATCCCTCCTAGCTTTATAATTCAACTAGAGACACGATGCATGAAAATTCGTGCACTCGGGGGTAGGGAGAGGTGTCCTTCAGCCCAAACTGCACCCTCTCACAGTCTGGAACCCTCGGGGATGTCCACCTGCAGGCTTAGGCTCGCTCCCCGGGGGATTGGGCCTAAGCTGGCAGTCAGACATCCCTCTGGCAGCTGCGGGGAGTAGGCCTAAGCCGCTGTCAGACATACTTAGTGCTGCCGTGGAGGCGGGAGAGGCTGGAACCACTCGACTTGCAGCCGTCAGCCCTGCTTGTGGCTGAGTGGAGCTCCCCTTGTGGGAGCACACTGACCAGCAGGGGGCAGCTCCTGTGTTGAGCATCTGCCCCCTGGTGGTCAGTGCACATCATAGCCTGTCATTCCCGTTAGGGTTAATTTGCATATTACCATTTTATTATTTAGGATTATTATATAGGATTATGCCTCCTTTTGCTATGCTCTTTCATTCTGTCCAAATCTGAAGAATTCTTTTGAAAATATTTTTATTGGTTTTAGAGAGGAAGGGAGAGGGAGAGAAACATCAATGATGAGAGAGAATCATTGATTGGCTGCCTCCTGCACACCCCCTACTGGGAATAGGGCCCACAACCTGGGCACACACATGTCCTGACTGGGAATCCAACCTTGACTTCCTGGTTTATAGGTCGACATTCAGCCACTGCCCCACACCTGAAAAATCCTTCTAAAGTCGAGTGGTTTCCTGGTTTATAGGTCGACATTCAGCCACTGCCCCACACCAACCAGGCTGAAAAATCCTTCTAAAGTCGAGTGGTTTTAGTTTCCTGAGATAATGCCTACCCAATGACACTGTTGTGAGAATATATGATGTAATGCATGAAGCATTTGCTCACACATAATCTGGAGCATGCTAGGTGCTCTACACATTAGCTGTACTCGACACTATTATTTACCCCCACGAGAATGTAAGCCCCAGGAGAGCAGGGACCCCTTGGGTCCTGTTCACGGCTGTGTCCTGAGCACCGGGATTGGTGCTTGGCACACCTTGAATTGAACTGAATAGTCGAAAGCGTCCTGCTTCCAGGCTCCCAGGGCAGTGTCCTCGAGGGCAGAATGAAGGAGTCATTAAGAACCCTTGCAGTCGTGCAACCGTACAACGGCTCTTGCACCCCTCTCCTTCTGGGGTCTGAAAGCCGGGCTGATGTCCAGACCCCAGAATCACCCCAAAAGCGCTTTTGGGACGCGAGCCTGGGACCTGGGCCCGCCTCCGAGGCCACCCAGAGGCTCCGCCCCCGACCTCTGGAGGTCCCCGGCCCTGATTGGCTGGGCTGCAGGCTCCTCTCCGGATGTGACCGCCGCCGCCGCCGCCATTGCGCGGCGCTGTAACCCTTGAAGGGTGCTCCTGCGGTGAGTGCCTTGACTTCTTGCCCTTGCTTCTCGCTCTCCTATCCCGGGAGCCCGGCGGGTCCGGGATTCCCTTCCGTGCCGGTGCGGGCGCCGGCATGTGGCTGTGGGAGACACAGGGGGGCCTCCTGGGCCCCTTCTCCTTCCTGCTGCTGCTGTTCCTGCTGGTGACGCGCAGCCCCTGCAATGCCTGCCTCTTCACCGGCATCCTCTACCTCCTGCTGCGCCTCTTCAGCTTCGAGCCTCTGCCCGCGCGCCGGGCCCTGCAGGTGCTGCAGCCCCGCCCCCACGACGCCCCCGAGAACACGCTGGCGGCCATTCGGCAGGTGAGACCCCAGCCGCCTCGCGCGCCTCCTGGGAGCTGGGACTGCTTCCTGCGTGTCTTTTCCGAAGGTTCCCTCGTCTTCTCACGATTGCCTTCCTTCCCATAACCCCATTCGTCCGCCGGGAAGACATTGAAGTGGCCCTCGATCCCTTTGACGTCTGGCAAGCCTCCCGACTTCAAGTATTTATAGAACCCAGCGAGTACGCTCATGTTTGCCAGGTGCCAGGCGCTGAGCATGCAGTCATGGACAAGACAGAAAGGCACCTGGCTTTTACAGAAGTTGCATTGGAGTCCAGGAGACAGGCCTTAAACACGTAAATACATACATGAGAGTCTTTAAGAGAGCGAAAATGCAATGGAGAAATAGGGTAATGGGATAAAGAATGACTGTTAAGACGTCCACAGATGTAAGCTCTTTAGGTCAAGAATCAATAGATTAGGTCACTTTGTGGCCTTTGTATTATACTTGCTATTTATTCTTCTTGGAACATTCTTCCCCTGGATCTTCATATGGTTGACTTCCTTTTATCTATTATGGTCTCAACTCAAATGTCATTTGCTTTTTTTTTTTTTTTTTAAATATTTTTCATTGATTTCAGAGCTAGTGGGAAAACAGTCTGGCAGTTCTTCAAAAGGTGAAACATAGAGTTACCGTATGATCCAGCAATTCCACTCCTAGGTATATACCCAAAAGAATTGAAACGTAAACATTTGGATACGAATGTTCGTAGTGTTATTCATAATAGTCAAAAAGTGGAAACAACAAAAGTGGTCCATCAGTTGAGGAATGGATAAATTGAATATAAAAAGAATCCGTAAGAGTAGCTGTTGGTTGCCTTGAGTGTTTATATTAGAAAATGACACTTGACATTAATATTGTTGATGTTTTTGTTAAGGCAGCTAAGAATGGAGCCACAGGCGTGGAGCTGGACATTGAGTTTACCTCTGATGGGGTTCCCGTCTTAATGCACGATAACACAGTGGATAGGACGACAGATGGCACTGGTCGAATATGTGATTTGACATTTGAACAAATTAGGAAGCTTAATCCTGCAGCAAATCACAGATTAAGGTAAGTTGTTGATTGTCTCTTAAACATATCTTCAGCTTTTGTTGGAGATGACAGACACTGGCATCTCCAAGCACATTTTCTGCTCCAGGAGAGTTGTTGGGTTGTGTTTTATTTTGAACTGTCTACAGGTTTCCTAAGTAATAAGCAGGTGCCAGGAACAGCAGAAATGGATGTTTTTAATCTTTTCCCACTGAGGCCAAATTTGGCCTCGGAATTATTCTTAAGACAATACTCTGTCTTAGTCACTAACATGACAATTGCATTGTACTGTCATATAAATTATATATATACAGGGTGTTCCCCAAAAATGTATACACACTTTAACAGCTGATAGCCTGTCTTAGTCACTAACATGACAATTACGTTGTACTGTCATGTAAATTATATATATACAGGGTGTCCCCCCAAAATGTATACACGCTTTAACAGCTGATAGCTCAGTTTTGAAAAATGAAACGTATTTAATAAACACTGCCTTTGTAATTATTCAAACCATGTGTATATATTTTTGGGGGGACGCCCTATATATATGTATATCAAAACTAGTCCTATACGATGTTCTCCAAGAAAAGGGCTCTATGATCAAGTAAAATCAAACACTGTACTCTAGTTGTTCCTCCTGGGAAATAGTCCATATCAGTCAATTCTTACCTTTAATTTAGTGTTTCTCAAATGTTTATGACCATAGAACCCACACTCTTCCTACCATTAACAACTATAAACACCTTGGGATTGGTATACTGGGAAATAATATACTTTGGAATGTGGTTATTTAAATCTTTCTCCTCTTGTAATACTGAAAACTGCTTACTGTTATTATGTCGTATCAGTTCTCTGGACAATGATGAGTACTACTTGAATACTGAGTATTCCACCCTATGGTTAAGTTAAATTCCTCCCGAAAAGATGATTTAGACTTAATTTTCCTAGAATCGGAAAGAAATTAAAAGTCAGCCAAAGGAAATCATGTTTTAGTCTAGAAAGAATATTGTAATACTTGCAAGTTCTAAATCCAGTGGATACAGCGTCCGCCTGTGGACTGAAGGGTCCCGGGTTCGATTCCGGCCAAGGGTGCATGTGTTTAGGGCCCATGTTGTAGGAAAACTACTTATTGTCTCTATAATTACCCAATGTGATGTCATCCTGTGTGTCATTTTATTCAGTGCCTATTTCTCACTCCAAGGAATAGGCACTGAATAGAATGGCTGGCAGAATTGCCTGTACTATTTCCTTTATCTTTATCTTTTTTTTTAAAGCCAAGATCTTACAATTGAAATAATATAATTGAACTAGCATAAGTTAAATCATGTGATGTGAAACTTCATTATGTGAGAAAAGCCAATTTCTTAATATCTTGCACTTAACTTTCCTTTTTTTTAATCAGAAAATTATGTATTAGAACATTATTTTAAACAGTTGTACTTAAATGAACAACATCAATGATGAGAAAGAATCATAGATTTATGTAATCCTAGGAATTTTTCCTGTAAAGGTTCTGTTAGGGCAATTACAATCTTTTTTTTTTTTTTTTTAATATATTTTATTGAGTTTTTACAGAGAGGAAGGGAGAGGGATAGAGAGCCAGAAACATCAATGAGAGAAACATCGATCAGCTGCCTCCCGCACACCCCCCGCTAGGGATGTGCCCGCAACCAAGGTACATGCCCTCAACAGGAATCGACCCTGGGACCCTTCAGTCCGCAGGCCAACGCTCTATGCCCTGAGCCAAACTGGTTAGGGCAAGGGCAGTTACAATCTTAAAATTAAGTCTGGATAGAGAGCCAGAAACATCAATGAGAGAAACATCGATCAGCTGCCTCCCGCACACCCCCCGCTAGGGATGTGCCCGCAACCAAGGTACATGCCCTCAACAGGAATCGAACCTGGGACCCTTCAGTCCGCAGGCCAACGCTCTATGCCCTGAGCCAAACTGGTTAGGGCAAGGGCAATTACAATCTTAAAATTAAGTCTCTGAGTTTCCAAAGGTGGCATATATTCTGCCCTTTGTTGAGTAGAATTTCTACTTACATTGCTAATTCAGTGGAAATCCAGTGATTTCCTAAAAATTAAATGATTTTTGTTGTTGTTTCTGTTCTTTGGTCAAGAATATCTGTACTTTGGTTCAAGTCCATATAGTAAATTACCCTTGGACTTTAGTGTAGTTAAGAAAGGAAGTTGGGGAAAACATTCTTTCCTTTTGTTTGGGAGACATTGTTTAAATGTCTGTTCCACTAAACTTGTACTTCTTGTTTTTCCTGCAATGCACTATGCCTTTTCCCTCTCTGACAGGAATGATTTCCCTAATGAAAAAATCCCTACCCTGAGAGAAGGAGTTGTAGAGTCCCTAAACCAAAACCTCACAATCTTCTTTGATGTCAAGGGCCATGCAAATAAGGTAAAATTTATACCATAGACTTTGCTTTTTAAAAAAGACATCTTTAATTGATAGTGATTTTCAAAACTACATATTTTGTTATTTATTCTTAAATTATTTTTATAAATTATATTTGCTTAATGGAAGTGTAAAATGCAAAAATCCACATCTGTAAGGAAAACTGTAAATCACAGAACCTTTTTTTAACCTTTGATGGAACCTTTTAACAACTGATATTCTACAAGTAGCATAACATAGAAGAGTCAGGTATCTCCAGTTTGCATAAAGCATTTGCCAGAGATATGAAATAAATAGTAAGGAGGCACTTTTTAAACAGGAGTTGGACACAACCAGTTTCATCTGGCTACTAAAGGTCTTAGATCAGTGGTTCTCAACCTTCCTAATGCCGCGACTCTTTAATACAGTTCCTCATGTTGTGGTGACCCCCAACCATAAAATTATTTTTGTTGCTACTTCATAACTAATTTTGCTACTGTTATGAATCATAATGTAAATATCTGACATGCAGGATATATTTTCATTGTTACAAATTGAAGAAAAACAATATGTAATTATATATGTGTTTTCCGATGGTCTTAGGCGACCCCTGTGAAAGGGTCGTTCTACCCTCAAAGGGGTCGCGACCCACAGGTTGAGAACCGCTGGACAACTATGGATGAAATTTAAAGCTTCTGATAGCTAATAGGATATTTTTTGCACAGATTTAGCCCTTCCGTATGATTTCTATCTCTTATGTATAGTTTTGTTATTCTATGATTTGAATAGTTACTGGTATACTTGTGTCAGAAAATTACTATAATACTTTCAAATATGTATGACATTCCTATGTAAAATTTTGCTTATATTTTAGAACATACACTTTTACTCATGAAAACATATTGCAATGGAAAATAATGGGAAAATGTAGTTCAGATAACATTTGTTCTTTTGTAATCAGCTTTTCAAATACAAATACTTTTTCCACATTTGGGTAACTTGCGTATTTACCCCTAGCTTATAATAGTTAGAATCAGTAATGGCCATCTACTGGTTTAGAATTCTGATGATGCCAAGTTTTAAAATTAATCCCAGGATACAGTTGAAACCAGTTGTTAAAATCTGAAATATAAGCCACAGTATATATTCTAACTTTAGTATAGTAAACTCGTATTTTTTAAACATACATATTTTTATTGATTTCAGAGAGGGAGAAAGAGATAGAAACATTAATGATGAGAGAGAATCATTGATCAGCTGCCTCCTGCATGCCCCCTACTGGGGATCGAGCCCACAACCCGGGCATGTGCCCTTGACTGGAACCGAACCTGGGACCCCTCAGTCTGCATGCCGATGCTCTCTCCACTGAGCCAAACCAGCTAGGGCTAGTAAACCATTTTTGAAGAAAAAAGAGAATGGTACTCTGGTTAATTTATTATTCTTCTAAATTGATAGTTCTAGATTTTTCAGTTGGTCTGCATCAGAATTACCAGGAATGCCTATAAAAACTATGGATTTCTGGGCCATACCAACTAGAGAAGAAATTCTGAAAATGTCTAGGGATCAAGGAACATGTATTTTTAATGAGCACTTCAGGTTTTATTGATAATAAGGCCCATATGTGGGAACCCTGATAGGTTCTACATTTCACCCATGGTGTACTGACCTCCATACTTATTCTGCATGCACAGCGGTTCTCAACCTGTGGGTCGAGACCCCTTTGGGGGTCGAACGACCCTTTCACAGGGGTCGCCTAAGACCATCGGAAAACACATATATAATTACATATTGTTTTTGTGATTAATCACTATGCTTTAATTATGTTCAATTTGTAACAATGAAATTGGGGGTCACCACAACATGAGGAACTGTATTAAAGGGTCGCGGCATTAGGAAGGTTGAGAACCACTGTCTTAGAATAAGAGGGAGGTGGGCAGAGGGAGAAGACAATTTTTTTTAAAAATCCAGCTATTTAAGCTTTCTGGTTGGGTGCTCAAAAGGTGGTTTGGGCAAGCCTGGGTAGAACATAGTGGTCCAATTCACCCAAATGTCATATAAAGGAACAGATGTTGGCAGCAAATTGGTGACAGTAGAGCACAGGAGCCAAGAATATGGACTTAGTACAGTGTAACCTCAACCTTGATAAGTTTCAATTTCCTCATGGGTAAAATGGGAATCATAAAAGAAACTACCACATAGGGTTGTTGTGAGAATTAAATAATGTAGATGAAGAGTTACACACAGTGCAGTGCATGTGATAATTCAAACAGCGGGAAAATAACTTTGGCTCTGTAGCTCATGCTCTGTTTCATTAGTGAAGGGGAAGCATAACACGAATAATTTCTATGTTCTTTTTTTCTTTTTTGGAATCCATTTTGTTGCCTTTATTTGGTTATAGGTAAGTGTGACTTTCCAAAAATTAGCAGTATTTCAAAAATTATGATGTAGCGGCATTAAATTCAATGGCCAAATCTATTAATTCACTAGAGGTTACAAAATGTCAATATTTTAATTCTATAATTCCTTCTTCATTTATTAGCTGGGCTACAAAAAGAAATTTTTGCTCACCTTGGGGAGAGTTGGGAGATTTCCAGCTCTCCCCAATTCCTCCCTTGTTCCTACCTTCATGTTCATGGTGGATGATGTTTCCTCTCAATCCTCTGGACTGAGAAAACCTACCCTTTTGTAGTTTCCAGGTGGTGGCTTATACTTTACCTTGGAAAAGCACAGGGTGATAGAGTTTTGGGTATAAAAGGACTTTTCCTAGTGGCTAAACTAAGGTATAGGGAAAATATTTTTAAATTTTGTTTCTAGCCTCCACTGGCCTACCGTTTGCCATACTTTCCAAAAATATGACAAAAGAGGTGAGCCTGTTAGCAAGACAATAAAGTAGCTGTATTCCAATTTCTTCGGATGCTGCAGATGTGAGTTTAAAATATATCCTAATAGATAGTGGGATCTACTAATACTCCTTTCAATGTCCCTACATATTAGTAAACCTCTGATTTATTTGATAGGGTTGTACTTAATATGTAATAGTTATTGCCTAAGACTATTACATTTTAATAGATTTTAAATACATGAATTGCTTCTGTTTTACAGGCTATTGATGCTCTAAAGAAAATATATATGGAGTTTCCTCAACTATACAATACTAGTATGGTCTGCTCTTTCTTGCCAGAAGTTATCTATAAGGTAAAATTTAGGATATTTGTTGTACATAATATTATATTAGTTGGTGGCATGGTAATTAGCGTACGACCGCTACCCTTCCCATTGGCTAATCAGGGCAATATGCAAATTAACTGTCAGCCAAGATGGCGGCCGGCAGCCAGGCAGCTTCAAGCGGAACATGAGGCTTGCTTGCTCCAGTGACGGAGGAAGCCAAGGTTCCCCGCCTGCTGCCGCCTGGCTCTGAGCTCCTGAAGCAACAGCTCCAAAAGATACAATGTTTCAATTATAGAAGCTAAAAGATGGCGGTTAATTTGCATATACCAGTTGCGAGGGAAGACTGAGGACAACATGGAGGCCAAGCGGTACAGAAGGGAGCTAAGTAGAGGCCTCGAGGACAGAAACGGAGCCAAGGCTGCAGAGGTGGGAGGTGGGAGGTGGGAGGGCAAGCCCAGCCACAGCGGCTGC